GCTCTTCCTTTTTTACCCTTTTCTGGATCAGAGTGAAACGTCCAGAGAATCCTGGGGCCCCTGCGTTGTGGTCTGTAGTTAAAATCTTCAACGAGCAAAGGTCGCTGAAAGGCACTGACCTTCACGCGCGCAGGATGCGCTCTAAATGGCTGACAGTTAAGAGTGTGCAGAGTGGGCGAGTGATTAAAAATGGGCTGAAGGAACATCCATGTGATGAAATTCCTGCTTCACTGTGTGGGAACCTTGAAGGACTGTGTGAGAGAGTGTGTGATTGAATAGTGATCGAGGAGTGAGTGAACAGGTGAGTGAATAAGTACTCGGTGAATAAAATATTTGAGACATATCCTTCGGGTAAATTGCAGCAGTGACGCTACTGAGGAGGAGCAGTGACGCTACTGAATCGTCAAGTTCTTGCTACATTTGGTTTTCAAAGAGCCGGAAACATACCTAGAAGTCCTTGGCGCAGCCACTAAAATGCATTTTTGCTAATTGGAATTACAAACACACAAATGCAGCAGCCCAACAACACCTTTACACTGCCACTACAAGGCTGCTCAAACCCTTGCAACATTCAATGGAAGTTGCAATCTACCATCGCAGAAAAAGTGCACGAAGCAGTGTGACACGGAATCTGAATAAGGTCGTTTCACTCTTACCGCGAGCAATCAAACTAGAGTTTTCTGAACCATCGCCTTTTTGCCGACACTTGCCGCTTGCCCAGAACATTTGTGAGTGTGTGTGTATGTGTAGGTTGCTTTTGTCTGTCGCCGACAAAGCATCTTGATTCGAAAAGTATCAGACGCTGCAGAGCGGCAACCTTTCGTGTTCTCTGTCCCCAAAAAAATAGAAGGTTTTTGGAGTCAAATGATGCAACCAAACTCAGAAGTTTCTGACCATGAAGCAGTGCCATTGTAGGGCCCCTGAAAGTTGCATGTATGAAAATTAAGCAAGAGAAATCAGCAACACATCAAATTCTCAAGAATTGTTCAACGACACTATGAAACCACTTCCAGTAATGAGCCACTCCGCATGGTGTTTTTTCTGCCTTGTGATCACTGATTCTCCGGAGATGTTTTCAGGTATGTTGTGTGCCATTCCAAACAATGTTCTTACACTCAAAAATCACCTGTGATCAAAGTAAGTGTGCTCAAATTAAAATAAGTGAGTGGGTCATCATTTGCGTTTTGAGGCATACCAGACATACCACAAAAAGCATTTGGCTCCATATCGTCCATATGATGGTAGCTGCTGTCACATATCCAACATAAGCCCCCCCGCTCGGGCACCAGTGGCAACCACCAGAATTGCGCACTAGCAGCCCCCAGCTACATTTGGACATGCCACATGCCTATGTTTTGAAGAACCATTAGTAACACCAAGAAGATTAGAAAAGACAGCAGCAGCTATCTTATTGTCAAGATTAAACTATATTCATTATATAAAGGCTTTGAGAACAAGGCCTCGACAGCACGCAAGTGCTCCCATCGTTCATGCTCTTCTTGCTGCAGCTCCCTTCGCTTTTCCTCCTCGAGACTGCAGAGCATTCCACAATAAGCGCGTGGCCTATGCATAGACCTGGTATGACATACTCCCGAATATTTCCCTGCTTCTCTGTGGAGAATTGCCTAGATGATAGAGGTTGTGAGAAACAAGTCGCATGGCGCTTCAGTCCTGCTGCTGCCGTAGCATCTCAAACCCAGCTTGCACGTCAGATAAACGAAACAAGGGCTCTCTCGTGTTCATCTTCTGTCTCATTTCTTGGACCTGTCAGAATGATTGCTTCAGTTACCAGGACATCTGGGACATCTGTTGTTTTTGCTCAAAACTCACAACACAGAATGAGGCAGGCAGGTTGTGTCCTGTGTTTGCACAATTCAAGACATCTGTCGCAGTTAAAGTGCGTATGATGTACTCAAGGTAGTGGTTTGTCTTTGCTCATCAGACCCAAAATGTCTGGTGTGCCTGTTTCTTGTATTCATCCTCCTGCTCCTTCATCTTTTTCATTCTCTCCTGAATCAACAGTAGAGATCTGCTAAGCAGCGCTACCTGGAAGCTGCAAGTTGGAAAGAAAAAACTGAAAATGCAAAGATTCTGCGCATTGCTCCTGGAGCATGGCCTGTTGGTTTGGGCTCAGTTTTGATGGTCGCACTGGAGCTGATGTTGGCCTTGACCTTCCCTTCTCTACAGCAGCCTGGGACCAATCTCATTGTCCAGGACAAAATCTGCAGGAAAGTGAACAATGTCAGGTAAGGAGTAGACCGTGGCGCATGTTGAATTGTTGCTGCCCATGCCATGATACTATCTGCATGGTGTCCCAAGACTGTTCGCAATTTTTTTTTGTCCCTTTGCTTCACTGAATAAAGGACCAAAGCCTGCAATGCTTTGCGCTGCACCAGCTCTTGCTTCGAGGTCTCATCATGTTTGGCCTGTAAGCCAACCCCGTGCATCTGGAATCAGCCCCGAACATTGCCTTGCATGAAGCAAACCGATATGCATCAACCAGTTCAGAATATCAGAATGTCATGCCAACTTTGTTCCATGAAATGTTGAAAAGGTATGGACACGTAGAATTAACGCAGTTGTGCAACCCAAAAGCAGGTTCCAGGATTCCAGGGTCCCAGGGTGCTGTTCCGGTTTTTGGGTTCGGCACAAAACAGCATCCCAAACCAGAGATTGAAACCCAGCAGTCACTGCTGTTGGGAATTCAACAATATAGAATTAGCTCCACCCGCAGTACAAATGCCTTCGCAGCAATCTCAATTCGCTCATCAAAAGAAAGACCTGCGTTCGAACGTACCTGAAGAATTCATTCAAGCAAACCACAACTATTTTTTGCGAAGCACTGGATAGTAAGAGACAGTAAGAGGCCATAAATTGAAAGAACAAACCAATCGAAGTCACTGGACATTTCTTCTGTTCAAATTTGTTCCCTGTTGCTCCTGTTGCTTGCCACAACCCCATTTTTCGCATGGACACAAACCCCAGAAATTGTCCAATCTTGAGGTGTGGACTGTCTTGCTGAGACGGGCTCGAAGTTCGTGTTTCAATGCTTCCTTGCAAACCCGACAGGCAAGATTGAATCACGGCAAGTCAATTACAGAATCTGTATGTGAGCCGTGTTCTAAACCGTCTGTCATTCCACTATCCTGGTTGATGAATTGGCATTCCCAGTTTATGGATTAGGATAATTAACCAATTAACTTTAGAACGACCACACCCGTCCACCAACCACTCTTGCACCTTGAATTGAGTGTGGCGACCACCATTGGGAGACACAGGGTCTTCCGATGTCAATCCCATGGCTGTCTGTGTCACTCAAATAAAGCAATGCAAGGATGTGAACTGTTGGATTGTTGGATGTTATTCGTATAAATATGGAAGTAACCTCTTGTTTTCCAAAATTCAAGGTTTGCATGCATCACATGTTGCAAGTATGGTCGCAAGCTTGAACAGGTTGTGAAAACATGTGACGGTGCACCGAAAATAAAAAACAACTGATGCCCCAAGGAGAGAAACTCTGTGCCAGCCTGAGTCAGTTTGAGTATAAATTCTCAAAGTTTGTCAAGTTGGGGCGGGAAAAACAATCATGGAGTCGCAGGTTCAGACGGCCTTCAAAACGCCATTGTCATTTCAAAGCATTGGCATGCGGCACAAGCATTCAATCGATTGAAATCAATGTGGCAATTGAAACCGTGTTCGTTCTGCGCTCTTGAATATTTTTTTAACCACCCAATGTCTGGACAACATACTGTGTACTCTTGCACGAGTTACTCTTGCAAATCACCATTGTTTCAAATCAAAACCACGTGGGAAATTTGAAATCATTTTTTTCATGTTGTCGCATTCCTCATTTCTAGCACACGACATTTCTTCCCTTCGGATAATTGAAAAACACACATGCAGTGTTCAATCCACAAAGTTGTCGAAAAAAACGTTGCAAGGATAAACATGTTTCCCAATATGACGCGAACAATGTCTCATTGCAAAAAAAATACTCCTACCACGCGCGCAGCTATGCGTATGTATATACATATATATGTGTATATATATATATATACCTAAAATTTCCATAAATATGCATGTGTAAAAATAGATAAATACACATATAATTTTCATATATATACATATATATACGTATATACACGCATACATACATACATACATACATACATACATACATACATACATACATACATACATACATACATACATTACACACATAACATAACAGAACATAACATACCATAACATAAAATAACACAACATAACCTAACATAGCATTAAAAAAACATTTACATACTAACACAAATACATACATACACACCACACATACAATACATTACATTCATTACATACATTGCATGCATTACATACATTACATACATTACATTCATTACATACATTACATACATTACATACATTACATACATTACATACATTACATACAATGCATTTATACATACATTACATACATTACATACATACAAACATACATACATACATACATTAAATACATACACACATACATACATACCTACGTACATGCATGCATACATACATACATACATAAATACATACATACATTACATACATTACATACATTACATGCATTACATACATACATACATACATACATACACACACATTCATACATACATACATACATACATAACATACATTGCATACATTACCTACATAACATACAGTACATACATAACATACATAGCATGCATTACATACATTACATACATTACATACATTACTTACATAACATGCATAACATACATTACATATATTACATACATTACATACATTACATACATAACAATCAAACCATGCATAACATACATACCATACATCACATACATATCATACATACATACATACATACATACATACATACAAACTTACATACATACATACATACATACATACATACACACATACATACATTCATACATACATACATACATACTGACTTAACATAACACAACATAACATAACATAACATTACATTACATACATTACATACATACATACATACATACATACATACATACATTACATTACATTACATTACATTACATTACATTACATTACATTACATCAGAAGAAAGAAGAGTAGAAGAGAAAGAGTCAGAAGAAAAGCAGATGCCGATGCGCGAAAAGGTAGGAAAGTCGCGAAACACTGTGTTTTCCCAATGATTTGGGGCTCCGGAGGGTCTTTTTTTTTCCGCCAGTCGCCTCTTGGCTTTCGCCAGGTCGATCCACACGCTCTATTGGCATGCAACATGTTCCATTAATTCAGGCATTTAATTGCCACATTGTTGATGGGCCGCCAAAGTAGTGCTGATGAAGGACCAGTACACAGTCCTATAGGCCGTCGTCATGCAATGAAACAGAAAAGGGGACCAAACAAGAAGCACAACAGAACAAACAAAAAGCAAAACGCAACAGCAAACAAAAACCAAAACAAGGGAAACATTGCATGCGACAGGGGGCCATATATAGCACACTGCAAAAGAAAATGGCTTTGCATTAACTAAGATTGGTATGGCGAGAGCAACCAAACAACAAGGAAAAAGCGAACCACCACGAAACAGACTCGCCATACAAGATCTGTGAGAAAGAAAACAACACAGCACTGTGCGGAAACCAGGGCTCCCCCCAGCCAGGAGCCCCGAGATCACACAGAGCAAGCCCCGTAGGGATAACATCTCACAAATCTATAAATTGAGACTAGCAATGACACCGTCACGTAGCCAAAGGGAGGTGAAACGAAGTGTGAAACAGGGCTATGGTGTGAAAAATGGACACGCCTCTACCTCTCAGATTCCACTCAGTAGTTCTTTTCCAAGCATCAGCATCTGCGGGACATTCTCAAGTGTTCTTGGAGCTCATCAAAGTGAGTTGGATCCGGCAGCTGTGCATAGTGTTCCTCTGAAGAGGTGCTAGAACCTTTCTCAGTGCGGGGCAGTAACAAAAGCGCCTTTTGTGCTTCACTGACTTCATAACTCGCTGAGATAGTGCAACTATCTAGAATGCAACTCAGTTGGTGCAATTGGCGCGTTGCATTGTCAAGATCAGTTATTCGCTGGGGCGGAACTTCTGGGATGCCCCGGAGCTTGTGGCACGCTTTTTCTAAAAGTTTGGTGGCGGTTTCTATTTCCTCACTGGAGACTTGGCACAGTGTCAGTTGGGTAATAGCCGTTGCCATCGGTGAACAGCAGCTGTTTCCATCCGAAGATCACCAATGCAGATCAGTGCTAACGTCTGAGAAACCAAACGGCCATCTTAAAGGTTGAAGCGCGGCAGGCGCAGCGCTTGCCCGTACGGCCATCTTAAAAGTTGAAGCGCGGCAGGTGCAGTGTTGAGAACTCCGTGCGGCCATCCTAAAGGTTGAAGCGCGGCAGGTGCAGCGCTTGAGAACCCAGTACGGCCATCTTGAAAGTTGACGCGCGCGGCAGGCGCAGCGCTTGAGAACCCAGTACGGCCATCTTAAACATTGAAGCGTGGTAGGCGCAGCCCTTGAGAACCCCGTACGGCCATCTTTCCTTGCATGGCCCCACAAGGGCCAACCACAAACTGAACCCCTGCGACCCCATTGTCAATGTTGAGGGTGTGTTCATGCTATTGCAAGTAAGAAGTAAATTCTAATTTGAGGATGTGACCTGAGGCAAAATTTCTTTTTGATGGCTATCAGTTCAAAAGGTGAAACTGCAACATTAAGCCTCCGTCCAACATTGAAGATGGGGCGCGGGGATTTAAACATACGTCAAATCCTCATCTTGGATTTGCAACTGCAAGTCTGGAGTCTGGAAGCGCAAACATCGACGATTCCCCTTTGCAGGAATGCCGATGTCAGGAACTGTAAATCTGAACACCACAAGCCGCTTTTGAAGCATCTGTAAATCTCCGAGCGTCACTCCGGCTTTCGGTGTGTGTAGATAGTCCAATCTTCCAGTGAAGAAAAAAGGGGAGCCACAGCAATCATAGCTGAGAGTCAAAGATCGCGTTTATCTTTCTTGGTGGAGGCTTCAGGTTGGGCTTGCCACTGTGATGGGCGCTGTCCTTCTGCTGCAAGAGCGCTGTTGATTTCCAACCACATTGATGAGAAAGAGTTCGCTACTGATTTTTTTTCAGCTTTCTTCCATGGACGGGGCAAGCAACGAAATATAGCTTTGTTGGGTTCCTCTGCAAATGTTTCATCTGGGCCCCAATGAAGGAGATCCACCCACAGGGCAGTGTGTGCTTGGCACCATCGGCTTCCGCCTTTCCACTGCTCCATGTGGAGGCGTCAAATAAAAGTATCCAGCCGCGCTTCAACCTTTAAGATGGCCGCACGGACTTTTTCGACATCTCAACTTCAAAAAGTGGTCCGAGAATGGTGTGTTTTGTGCATTTTGACTTCGAAATGTGCTTCGCGCCACAACGGCGTGCACTTTTTCGACATCGCAACTTCCAAAAGTGGTCGGAACCCCTGGTGTTTTTAACATTTTGACTGCCAACGTGGGAGACCCACGACTGGCTCATTCACACCCACATATCAATTGCGCGTGCAACCCTACCACACAAGAAATCCCTCAATAATAACCAACATGGGTGACCCATGACTGGTTATTGCAATTTGTCTCCCCTGCAGACCCCCCTTTAATGTTGACCTAGTCTTGGTTGGGGGGGTGGGGGAGGAAATAGGAAGGCTGTAGTTAGGTCGATGTCAAAGTACATCTTTGCCATGGCGTTCTTCAACTTTACCTTCGGTTGACTCAGTATTGTGAATGCACTGCCGACACAACATTTGAACTCAGCCTTCCTGCAAGTTGGTACTGACCTCGACACACAATACCAGTGTCACCATGTTGGGATGCTATGTCACAATGATTTGAACAACGCAGTTTCACGGGGTTCTCAAGTGCTGCGCCTGTCACGCAAACAAATGGAATCTGTAAAATAATCGTACAAACAAAGAGCCCAACTAAACCCACCGCGCTGTGGCGAGAACACAATTTTGGTGTTGCGGGCCAGACGGTTTAGTACCCTACTAAACGCTCCGCGCTGTGGCGTGAGATCCATTTTGGCCGGTCGGCTTACATTCTAAGAAAGATTTTTTTTAGTAAGGTCTTTTTATCGAATTGAACCAACTATACGCTATACGCTGGCCATGTTTTTCCGCAAATTTCCACGGTTTTCAGGGTATAGTAGTCCAAGTTCATCAACTATACGCTCCGCGCTGTGGGAAAACGCACATCCTAGCTTGGCGGCTGTTGTGCTGCTTTCAGCAACCGCTGGCGGCGCTTTGCTGCTGATT